GCACCCATGTTCATAGCGGCACAGTTTGTAATAGCTAAAGCTTGGAAGCAGCCCAAGTGCCCATCAACTGGAAATTGGATAAAGAAAATGTGGTTTTTTAATAAAATGGAGTACTACTCTGCCATAAAGAATGAAAAACTAGAGTCATTTATAGCTAAAAGGATGCATATCGAGGCCATACTCTTAAGTGAAATAAATAGGACACACTTGTGTAAATACTGAAAACTTTCACTAGTGTGAGAAACTGATAGTGTAAACAAGAGTTAAAATGACTAAAATGAATAATTGATAATTTGAAATAGGAAAAAAGTCCAAAGATGATTGAGTGAGGGGAGGTGAAGGGGAAAGGAAAAGAGGGAAAGGAAAAACTGTAAGAAAAGAAAAAAAATGGAAATGAAATCTATGTAAATAGGGAAGGGCGGAGGGGCTGAAGGGCGCATAGGTAATGGGGAAAAAAAATGAGAACCAAGATACATCATTTAGAGGTACAAACACCCAATGATAAATGTAAATGAATTATATACCTAAAGTGTACCAATGAAATGTACCAATAAAATTTTTTTTAAAAACCAAAAAAAACCTCAGTTTTCAACACAAGTGAAAATGGGTCTGGAGTGCTGGGGAAGACTACCTGAAGCATTTTCTTGGGGAGTTTGGAAAGGCCGGGCCAGTTATCTACATAAAAGAATTGATTTCCTATTGTCATTTTCTCACGATACCCAATCTGATATCAAAGGAGTACTTATTTTACACTTCAGTGGAACGTCATAGGTTTTTCTATAGTTTTATTGACTTAAACTTTAGAGTCAAGAAGTAAGTTCTCTAAATCCTTCATAGACAACTGTACTCTTGAAGCACACTGTGTTCTTTTTCCTCAACAGGAAAGTCACCTCCAAGTACACCTTCCTGCACTTCAGATTACCCCATGGGCTGCTTGTATTGACTGATCCAGCCCTTCCCACCTCCAGGAATCCATTTTCATCTCTAAACAACTGAGGCTATTGTGTCTGTTGGTGACAGAGGTTAAAGGAGGTTAAACGTCTAGGCTGTGTGCAGGCTGCCTGCCCTGGAATCCAACTGTACCAGTTGGGTTTCCCAGCTGGTAAAATGGGAATAACACAGGACCTACTTAGTGGATAATTTTGAGAATAAATAAAGTAGTATCTGGAAAACACACAGAGACCTAGTTTATTTTAAATACTTGATACTTTTAATGTTTATTTTTGCTCCAATGATTTTATAGCCACATAGCAGTTTACTCTGACTCTCTATGTAATATAAAGAAAACTCTTCCCCTATGGTTCCTCATGCATAAAAAGACTGAGTGATGACATTGTATTTAGCATCCAGGCTGGGAGAATCTCTGCACATGTAACAGAATTGTACAATGATTAGCGCCCAACTTGTGTCAAATCCCCACAGGCTTTCTGCTAGACGTTTTCTTTGCATTTTGAATATGTAAAAGTATTTTAACACTCCTTGAACATTTATTCACAAAATTATGGTAGACACTGAGTGGGAATCAATGAATTGAAAGATGCATCGGCCCTTGGAGATAATCCTTACATAGTGAGAAAAGACAAAAACATGTCAACTTGTGGCAGCTTTGTTTGTTTCCTGTCTATCTCCTTCCAAAAAGGCTCAATCCGTCTGCTGGAAAGAGCCACAGCTCTCTAAGATCTGGGACAGCCTCTTTCTGGAAAGTTTTTTTTCACCACTTTCCTTTCATTTGTTTTTTCTTACAGTTCAGTTTACACACAAGCTAAGGCCTGCAGATGCACACAGATTCAGTTGTCCCCCAGCCCAGACCTCCATGGAGGGCATTTCCAGAGGGAGCCACCCTGGCTGTGCCCACCCGACCAGTTACCTCCACTTCAGACGTCATGCAATACAGAGTGCAGGATACAATTTTGCTCTTTACTCAGTTTTATATCTTGAGGTGCTGAGGACCAACCCCAGGCCTCCGAGTGACATCCCAGCCCCAGTGTTTCCCTTAGATCCATCCCTGTCGCGGGCTGCAGTGACCCGTTCACTGTCCCTGCCACAATGCACACGCTCTACTGTGAGCACACTGTGAAGATGATTACAGAACTTGCCTCTCATTCACGGTAACCTGGCCTTGAAATTGCTCTGAATCAAGACTAGACTGCTTTCCCCTTTGTGGGTGACTTGCTGTTCCTTCCTGGATGTAGGGAGAAGTAATAATAATTACAAAAGAAAGGCAACTTACCCAAGATGCACTTCCCTTAACAATTTTTCTTGGAACGTGATTGTGCCCCGTTGATCCATAAAGACAACTTCTAGATCTTCCTTATTTCCAAGATTGTTTAATTATTAAAAAGTATTAAAATTTTTACTGTATCTTTTGTTCTCTACTTCAGGTTTTTATATTATCCATATATAGTGAATCATTTCCTTTTTTGACTCTTGTTCACACATTTCAAATTTTCTTAAGTTACTTTCACTTTCTCTCTTTCTCTTTTACCTTTTTTGCATTCCTATGGAAATATCAAGGTTTGTTTTAGGGCACAAATTAAAATATTATCTATGTCTAATGTAGTTACTGCTTTTTAAAACTTATTTATCTAGGTAATGGTATTATTTGAGTTCTCGATTTGTCTCCTTTGTTTGTTTGTTTGTTTGAGACAGGGTCTTGCTAGGTAATCCAGGCTGGATTTGACCTCACTATGCAGCCCAGACTGGCTTCAAACTCTCAATCCTCCTGTCTCAGCCTCCTGGAATTCCAATATGCCCAGTTTCCTAGTTGATTTATTATACTTTTTATTATGCTTTTAACTAAGTCAACTTCTCTTCTAATTTTTCTTTTGTTTACTCTGCAGTCTTTTAGTCGGATAAAGAACTGTCAGAGTTCCCCCGCTTACTGATTTTCTATAGCTTTTGCCTGCTGTTCTTTTATTGTGATGGAGACCATGGTTGTTGTTAATGTTTCCATCTTTCATCTTGCTGGGTTTCTCTTCCCCTAGGTTACACTTTTTTTGCTTACTGTGGATAAGCAGATTTCCCCCTCAGTTGATCCCCTCCTTGTGTTTAGTACTTTCGTTTTTCCCTCCACTTACAGTTGAGAGGCAGGATCTGCTCTCCTGCCCTGTTATGGTCTGAGGGACTCAGCAGGACAGGAAGGCTGTGCACTGCTCTGGCACCATCCTGGGTAGGCATCACTGTTGGGACCTGTGGAAAGTCCTCTCTCGGGTCCTCCCCTCCCAAGGCAGGACTTGGGGTGCAGGCTCCTGGTGGAGGATGCTCAGCCTCCCCACAACCGCAGAAGCCCTGGCCCTGCTGGTCAAGAAGAGAGGTGCCAGGAACCAAGGGGCTGGGACCCCGACTCTGCATCACCGCAGTTCTGGGGTGCATGTGGGCTTTGCATGAGCCAGAACCTTCCAGTCATGGCATCAGCATCTTCCTTTATGACTCCAGAGTCTCCTTTTATTTGGTTTCTGCTACTGAATCTCTTTCATTTTTTAAAATATATGTTGGTTTTGCTGATTCTCTGGGGATGGAAATCCTGTAATCTGACTTTAATACCCATCTTCACCCAGAGGAAGTACTCTAAAGGCCTTTAGTGTGAATTCATTTATTTCTACTCAGAGTGCTTTCATTCATCAGGCAAGGCTTATTTTATAAAACTCTCATTTGAAAGCAGCGGTTGGAAAGGAGAGACACGCCAGATGGAGGGAGGATTCAGAGGTGCTGTCAGAGCCAGGCCTGGGGGACCCCGGCCCACCCTTACCGAGCTGCCTGTCCTTGGTGGACGCTCCCTGTTGTCACCACGCACGCTGTGTGTGCCCTCAGCCCAGACACGCACAAAGCAGATTTGCAACCTTTTAATGACTGCTTTCAACCTGTGCAATTATAATAGGGACAACATGAATCATTACTGACCTCTGGAATAAGCACATTAGCCTATTGCCTAAGGAACATATTTAATATTTTGAGAAATAATATACTACCCTGCTGCTAGCATTTCAAACATAAGGCAAATGGTGCATTATTTTTTCTTTTTCCAGGAAACACAAAGGGCATCCTTGTGATGTATGAAGAAGATGCTGAGGACTGGGCTGTGTACCTGAGGAAGCTATTTTCCCAGGCTGTGGAGACAGAAGGGATCCTGTTGTACCGCCTGGAGCACTTCTCCCTGCGGCATTTGGAGTCTCTGAGCTTAACTTCCTACAAATGTAAGCTTTTGATACTGTCCGGCAGTGTACTGAGTGACCTCACACCAAAGAAGTGCGAGTTTCTGGAGAAGATGCTGGACTCCCCAAACAGCGTGGTCACCCTGCTCTGCGGGCTGCGGAGCGCAGCTCCACTGTACGAGTCCTTAAACATCCCTGCGGGCAGATGGGAGCTGTCGACCGAGCAGCAACCCAGGGACTACATCTCCGTGATCCAGAGAGTCCTGTTCAGAGGTAGTGTCACCCAACCTCCGTTTTTGTTTAATATTTAAATTTTTTAGATTTTTCTTAAACCAAGGAAGAGCCCATGTTAAGATACAGAGTGTAAGAATGGATTGAAGAGTGTGTTGCACTGTACAGAAAAAGCACCAAGATTCTTAAGTTTGAGCTTGGTTCAGTCATGTGTGAGTTGTGGGATGATGGTTTGTAAGTTTGTTCCTGGGGTGGCCCAGTGAGACCGGCAGGCCAGGCCCAGAGGTGCTGCTCACATGGGGTGAGAGCTCGGCTCCAGACCTGAGATAGCCAGTGTCTGCCCTGTGCGTCTCCTGTCAGCAGTGGCTCCAGGTTGGAAGATCTGAGTTACAATGCTAGAGTTTTTCCTGTGCCGACACTTGGATGCCATCTACTATTATAAAACAATTTTATAATGAGACACTTAATTCCAAGCACGTGGCCATTGTACAAGAGAACAGACTCAGGTCCCTCCGTCTGCAGCCGCATCCCCGGGCAGGGTTGGAGCTCCAAAGGCCACGGTGCTCGGTGCCAGCTGCCTTTAGGGTGTCCCAGCATGGGCACAGCCCAAGCTGGGTGTTGTGTAGGTGTAGGGGACACCTGTCCATCCCAAGAGGAATACAGGAGGCCTTCCCCCACCCTGAGGGCAAGAAGAACCTTCACCCTTCAAAGGCCTCAGCAGAGAACGGAGGTCTCCGCTGTAATGCCAGCATTCTGGGAGGCCAAGGCAGGAAGAGCCAAGTGTAAGCCCAGTCTGGGCAACTTAACAAACTAGTGACAGCCTGTCTCAGAAATAAAAAATACAAATGAAAAAGACTGCGGATGTAGCTCAGTGTGAAGGCAAACAAAACTCTTCTTAATTCTGCCACCTTTTCAAATTCAATAATTTTTAATCCTTGCTTTAGTTACCAGTTGTTGCACCACAAGTTTCTCTAAAACTTAGTGACATACAATAATAAACAAGGAGGATTTTACCCCAATTTCCACGATTGGGAATCAAGGAGGGACTTGGTCGCAGGTTGGGTCCTGGTGGCCTCGCTGACCAGAGGGGCCTGCAGGATCTGCTTGTCCTTACCGTGTTCCTAATTGTCTCTCGGCTGGGTGAACATCACCTCTAACAGCCTCCGGAGGGAGGGAGGGCTGTCCTGGGATGCAACGCTTCTGAGCTCTTGCACGTGGAGTGACACTTCTCTTGCCTCACACTTGAAGGAGTGAGTGATGGGGAGGGGGTGCCCCATCTTTTCTCCTTCTGGCCTCATAGGACTTGGAAAGCTTTCCCTTGGCTGGAAGACTGAAAGGGTTTTCATTCATGGACAAGTCTAGGACATTGCTACCGTGTTATTTTAGCACTTTAGTGCTCTGGATTAATTTGCCCAGAAATGTGCGTTCTGTTTTCATTTTTATCTTTTCCACAAAATGTTGACTCAGGTCTTATTTTATTTCAGGAACAATTTCTTGACTTATTTCTTGCCGTGTCTTACTGTGAATTTACTTGGGGAGGGGAACCTTTCACTATATTTCGCGGGTGATTCCCTCTACCATATCTCTCTAAACCTTTTGGACTCTTTATTAATATCTAAGTCACTAAGTGTGCATTGTCACTTTAACTTTTGCAGGCTTCTTGTGTTTTGGATGGTCTCTCTCCCTCTGCATTGCTTCTGATTTCCCTTTCATGTTTATTGTACTGGTGGGCTTTTCCCATTGTGCCCTTTGGCAAAGCATTTTCATTTTAATCTTGTCGTCCTCCTCCCTCTCCAACACTTTTATACTGTACTGTTATTTCCAAAAGCTGATTATTAGGCCTTACATTTTAAAATTTCATGGTACAGTTTTTAAGTTAATTTATGCCGATATGGTTTTAGTTCTTGCTCCTATATACTATTGGTTCTCTCTGTTTCCCATATTCATCAAGTATATTGAGCTTTTTGCTATTTTTTTGCAAAGAAGAAATATTACAATTGGAAAATTAAGAAAAATGTCACTATGACACTATGATGCATATAAAACACATGTAATTGTACACTGTTTTCTCCCCTAAGACAAAAGAGCACTGATTCTGGACAGCAAAGCATCATCATGCAAGTGATTCTTCACACCTGTAAGTTCTGATTCCTCCAGGAACACTCAGTTTGCTTGGGCGATTTCAATTACAATGTCACTATTGCTTAAAAGTTTGAAGACAGACCTTTTTATGTGTTTGTTTTATGATGAGCACCCTTGGGTGGCTAGGAAAGTGCTATTCTGCTATGTCTTCAAGTTGTATTCCTTTTCATATTTGATAGGAGAAAAATGAGCCTTTATAGAGAGCACAGTACTGTTTTAAAAACACGACTAGCTCTCATTGTCCCACATGCAAATCCTGGGCTCTGATTTTTTAAAGTAGAAAAATGACCATGTTGTGTGGAAAAGGGTGCTCAAACATATCTTAGTCTCACATACAAGAATGCCACAGGATATATTCTCTGAGAAGTTTCCAAATCATTCACAATATGACCTGTATATACAAATTGTGTCCCGTGATAAAATTGTTCCTAATTGCTACAGTCTACATACTAATGACTTCACTTGAAGAAACTGCCAATGTGGCCTGCTGCACTATTTTGTTTCATATTCAAGTGGAATGCATAAACGTTGAGAACAGTAAGAAAATGGGTAAAATAGAACAAAAGGTGTGGGTTTTGATTTTCACTATCCCTTTTGTACTTTCCTACATCTCAAAGAGAAATTAAACAAAGAATAAAGGAGGCCTTTTATTCCGAAACATTCTGTGATAAAGAGAATAATAAAAATGCCAGGAAAGTCATGAAAATAATTAAATGTTTAATATATTCACATAGACAAAGATAAATCAGAGGAAATTTTATAAAACTTAATGAAACAGAAAGATATTTTATAATTAAGGCTCCAGAGGAAAAAGTTTTTAATATTAAAGGAGTTAGTAATTCATGTTGAGTCAAAGTATTTTACTTCTTTTTAAGAAATTAAGAAAACTAAAATTTCTTCTCTCCTTAGTTCTCAAAGTGGAAATAATCACGCTCTTTCTGTGTTTCCGCCTTGTGTGTGTTCTCTCACCACTCAGACAACATCCCTCCCTTTATTCTGTCTCCCACTTTTGGTCCTCTGCCCAATTCCCTTTGTCTACTCACTCCAGCTTCGCAGCTCCCGTGCAGCATTGCACGCACACAGTAGAAATGATCTGACTCCAAAGCTTATTTTAAACATGGCACTGTGGGCGTGGCCATGGGGCCTTGCTTGGAGGGGAGGGTCGCCCTGCCCTGTGTCCCTGCCCTCTGTGCTCCCTACTTCTCTTCACCTTTGCTCCCCCACATCTTAGGCTCCGCTTTGGCTCCACATCCCAGGGTTCATCACCAGGAACTCTATCCAAGGTTGATTTTCCCATATTTTCTTCATAGTCAAAGGAGAGGAATAAACTACCATTTTTTTCCTAAGAGACAACATTTCAATTTTGTTCCCATATTACCAAGCCAAGGATTTCCATTGATTTGGTTGATTAAACCTGAAGAAGAAGCTTAAAACAAGCAGTAGCCATGTAGCAGCAAGTGAGTGATTAGAAAGAGAAACCAGAAGGGAGCGTATGGCACAATGGGGACATTGCACAGGGCACAGACACGGTCCCCCTCGCTGTCCCCGCCCGAGGTGCCCAGAGCTATGTGCTCACACCTGGCCCTCCAGGCCCAGCCTGCCAGTGACACCCACGGAATCAATTCTGGGTGCAAGGCCACACCTGACTCTGAGTTAGGTTTTCCACTGTGAATTACCTGTTTTGAAAGCTTCAGTTCAATATATTGAAAGGTTTTAGAACTATTCTGATGAAATCACTTTTGCTAATTCATTTTCCTAGGATTTTGTTAACTTTATAAAAATATATAGGTGTACAATTATTTATGGTATTTCTTTTTAAAAATTTCTGCTCTGTGTGAAATTTTATCCCTTTATAATTTCTAAAATCATCTATTTGTCTTTTTGTAAAAGGACTTGATGAATCTCAGAAGTTTGTGAATTTCATTTGTTATTTCAAAAAATAATCTTGTTTTTAAAAATATTTTGTTATATATTTTTATATTCCTTATCTTTATAGTATATTTAATATTTTAAAATCTATTTCCTTACATGTTTAGAATGCTTCCCTCTTAGATATGTAGCCTTTCTATTTTTCTTTTTACAATAAACATTTAACCAATAAATTATCTCTAAATACATCTCATATATATCCCCAAAATTCCTACAACTTTCCTCATTGTTCAGCTTTACATATTTTCTAAACTTCCTTTGATTTCACCTTTAGAAATTTTATGAATAAAAGTAAGCATAAGATTTAAGTTATCTTTTTGTCACTGATTGGTATATTTTGTTTCATGGTCAGAGAATATGGTCTGTGTTATTAGTAGATTTGCCTATGTTGAACCATCCTTGCATCCCTGAGATGAAGCCTAGTTGATCAGGAGATGTGATCTTTTTTATGATTCATTACCTTCTATTTGCTAATATCTTGTTGAATAGTTTTGCATTTATATTCATTAAAATGATTGACCTATACTTCTCTTTTTTGGCTAGGTCCTGGTCTAGTTTTGGAATCAGGGTGATGGTAGCTTCCAGTAATGACTTTGGGAATATTCCTTCCCTTTCAGCTTCATTAAAAACCTTGAGGAGTATCAGTGTTAGAACTTACCTGAAGTTTTTGTAGAATTCAACAGGGAACCTGTCTGGACCTGGGATTTTCTTAGATGGTAGGATATTTATTACTGCTTTGGTTTCATTGCCTGTTATTAGATTATTTAGGATTTTAAATCTTCTTGGTGCAATTTTGGTAATTCATATGTATCTAGGAATCTATACATTTCTTCTGATTTCTCCAGCTCATTGGTGTACAAGTGAAATAGTTGTTAATTATGTTGTTTTTTTAAAATTTTGGTAGTATTCATTGTTATTTCACCTTTTTTATTTCTAATTGGATTGATTTGGATCTTTTCTATCCTTTTTTT